GTAGATTGTGAATAAATGTTTGTTTTGTTTATGTGTAAATTTTTTTTGACATGTTTCAGCGTTGAATTGACAGCTGACACTGGCATTCGTGTAGATTCATGCATTCGCAACGCTCCCATATAAAATGTATGTAAACATTCGCGCCGCATTCGCAGCGCATTCGCGTGATACTCGCATTCGAATGTTTACGAATGCCACTGCGAATGCTTCCATACATTTTATATGGGAGCGTTGCGAATGCTTGCTTCAAAATACGAATAAAGTCATTTTTTTCCGAAACGTAGAACGTTTTCGAATACTCATTAGCCCCTAGCCACAAATTCGCTTCAGCCAAAGCGCGACAAGTTTTGTTTGATTGAGAATCAAAAATTTGTTCATTTTTTTAATATTATTTCTACATGTTTGCTAACTTTCCAAAGATTTTTTAGACGATATATTCTTATGGGTCATATTACTTATTATTTCCTTCAGTACTCAATCAGTATTTTACTTTTTTTACATTATTAGACATATTGAATTCTCTGTAACTCATCTACAGCGATTTTGAAAATGAATAAACGAACGTGTAACATGATAATCACTTTTTTTGATTTATGCATTCAGTTAAAACTTTATAGGAATGCTGTGCCGTTATGCAGTAAATATTTAGGTAAAGTATTAAACTACTGGGCTGGAATTCTAAGAATTCCACCAAAATCGTTCGGAATTATTTTTTTCGTACATAAGACCATATTGGAGTGAAAGAGAGAGATTTCACTATTTTTCAGCACTCCACCGGAATTATTCCGATAACTCAAGGAAGAGTGGATTGTGTGAGAAATAATCCCGGTGGGACGCTGGAAAATAGTGGAATCTCTCTCTTTCACTCCAATATGGTCTTATGTACGAAAAAAATAATTCCGAACGATTTTGGTGGAATGACTTAGAATTCCAGCCCTGCTTAAAAATTTAGGGGCAACATTTTGAAAATTTGCCTCAGGTGACAGAATTGCTTTGCACGCCGCCGTGTCTGCATATGCTGATTCGAATTTATCCAAGCAATGCGTTCAGAAACTGGTTCTGGACCGCGCCTACTCGCGTCTTCGTTTCATTTTCAATGAATCCTTCCAATCGTGGTACCACCCGGTTACCATTCATGCGCAGGAACAATAATTCGGTTTTCGAAAAAACGCAGGCAGCGCATGAGCTGTCATCGACCTTTAGATCGACACGACCAATTCCATCGACGTGCACATCGGTATTCAAGTGGAGCGATGTGTGGAGATCTGGATTCGAATGAATTTCCTGCAGAATCATATGATCAAAAATGGAACAATGGAAATTTTGTCAATTTTATTGCATGATTGAATAAATGCTGCTTTTCTCAACTAGGAACTATACCTTGTTTTCAACCATTTTGCCAGAAATTCGCCAGTTGGTGATGACCAGAAGATTGTCCCACCACTGTACTTCACATTTTCATTCAGTTTGTGATCACGGCTGATTGTGAAAGCGAACGGGATTTTTGCTTCATTGGTGATGCAAAGACATCCATCCTTCATTTCCGTGACAACTAGCGAGTGGACATTGTCCGGGCTCAGCACGATTCGGCGCATATCATTTCGTTGGATCGACTGAAAGTCTCTTCCACTGAGGGTGTAATCGTCGTACACTTAAACGTATACCTTCGACATTGTCTAAATCCAATCGAATGAAAGAAAACTTGTGATTTTGCGAAACAAAAAACCATTCGAATGTGTTTACCCAAATTCAGATTTCTTTGATGTGCTCACGAACAATTTCAGCTAAAATCAAAATGCGAATAGCCGTCAATCCGAATAACACCTACAGCAGTGAAAAAAACTAATGAGAATTAATCATTCGAATGTGTTTACCAGAATTTAGATTTCTTTGACGTACCTATGAATCGTGTCACTGTTTTGCGTCAAAGCAGTTTTCAAACTTCACAATTCGAATACTTGTCGATCCGAAAAACACCTACAGAAATGGAGAAAAATAAACAAATGTCTTGGAACGAAAACCTGATTGAATCGAACCTGTACAATTTTCCGTCAAAAGGGTCGCCTTACGGCCTGTCACACTGTCACACAGAGGGGCGAAACCGAACTGTCATATGGCTGTGCTCACGATTTTTTTTTTATCAAGATATCGTAATAAACTAAAAATATCGTTCGATATCGTTATTATGATG